GAGTTACCTGCTGTATAGTAAGTTATGTGGTATATAGTAAGCACACAGATATGATTCACTGTTATCATAATTAAAGGACAGTGGTTTGGTGTGCTAAGCACTAAACACAAGACAGAAAGGTATCTTAGAGAAGTAGACAAAGAAATCTGTAGTTCAGAATGAACAGTACCAAGAATGGCATGTTCTCCAAATTGAGCTCGGGCAGCTGGATCTGAGCCTATCCTACACATCTGAGTCTACAGTATGAGGTAACAGTCTCCACCTACAGCTACATTCTCTGCCTGCAAGGTCATTCCTTTTTGAAGAAAGATGACCTCAGAATGTACTGTGATCATTTAAGGAAGAGCACAAAATACTGGAGAAGGCTAGTCTTCAAGCTCTAGATACAGAAAATCCTCATATTTATGGGTGTTACTTTCCAGACACAGAGTCAGAGCCACAAGCACTAATCCAAAAACCTCCTTTTCCAAAAATTTTTTCCATCTTCTACCAAGGTTCACCTCCGTGTTTAGTGCACACTGGTGTCTACAGTTGCTACAGCAAGAGTCTCTCCCTATCCTCTAAGGCAGGAGTTCTATGACCCATCCAGGCCATGACTGCCATGTAGATGACACACCTCTCTGGTCAGGCATAACTGGCCAAGCCTGAGGTAGCCAGGTTTTGGAGCATTGATAATATGGGCTTTTCCTTTGTTGTCCCTAAATATGTTGTTTCATTTTGTCCCCTTGTCATGGGGAGACTCAGAAATTTGGTGGTGCAATTGGACAGGGCCGGGGGCTAGAGGGAAGAAGCAAATGGAAACCATTTAGAGGGGGTACAGGTGGAGAGGGTATCTCTGAGCAGTGGATCTCCTGGCTGTGGGGAAGCTGGCTTGGCGGCCATGCCAGGAGCTAAACCCGGAGGTTCTCTGTGTGTCCTCTGAACTCCACGGGCTCCACTTTGGCATTTTCTCCAATTGTCTCTGGTTTCCATTTGCTTCCTCCCTCTACTCCCCTGGCCATGTTCAATTGCACCACCAAATTTCTGAGTTTTCTTATTTTGTTCACCATCTCCAGAACATAACTGTTTCCTTTACCTTTCAAGGAATTCAAACTTGAGCTCTGCTCATTCCTGCCCATCACCAACCTGAGCTCAGAGTTGCTGAGAAGGGAAAGCACACTCATAAGGAAGCTCCTCCTTTCTTTACAACATTAGACTTGAGTGCAGACAGCATCTCCATCTCCACACTGCTCTGGCCAGGTTATGTCTCAGTCAATTACACAACTGTGTCTTAGTAGCCTTGGTAGAGCCCAAATCAGGATATTCTCTGAGAAGATTCACTTTGTACTGAGCCCAGCATAATCTCACTGCATATAAAATAGAAAATTCTAGACCCACCCCTCCACATCTTCGTTACTGAACCCAATATGTGACCCAATTACCATGTGCTTATATCTCTACCTACTGCTCATTCTCAGATCAGATCATAACCCAGGTTTACCATGGTCCAAACTCTGACATCTGATCAGGGGCATGTTATTCTGGTGAATGCTATCAGCCCCGAACAGGTGGGTCACTTTGCATCATGCTGAGTGCAGGTTGCCGGGCCACCGTGAGGTTACATAAAAAGAACCTATGACAGGATGCACATGAGACAGACAAATGTCTTCACATTGAAAAAGGGGAGGAGTGCACCATTGGTTTTCCATCCTCCAAATGTACTGAGTAAGCTCCTACCTACCCTGTGCCCCCTGCTTCTTTGAAACACTTCCCATCCTTGAGCCTTAGTAGGAAGGAGAACCACCTGGAAGCCCAGAATCGTATAGAATGTTGAGTCTCCCTTCTCCTTAACCCTTTGTGTTGGAATTCTCGTTCCCCAAAGCCTTGGATTTGACCTTCCCGCACACTGACTGGAGAGAAGCATCTTCATGTTCACAGGAATAGGCCTTAGATAAGACTTTGCTCCTCTCATTGGGGCTCCAGGACACCGAAAAGCCAAGCTTGTTACCAACGCTTGCTCTTCCTTAAGTACATTAAATACATCCCCAATAGTTAAAAGGATTCTTAAACAGCCAGGCCATTCTCCCTCCTTCTAACCCTCATCTCCTTGGCCTAAGAAAGCCCAGCTGTGTGATCCAGCTTTGGCTTCCCCTGTCTTCCCCATCCCAGCATCCTTTTAGGAAACAGCCGGTCTCCCTCTCTGCTCTGAGAAGGCAAGTTTCCTTATCACCTGAGAATCACAAACCCACAGAGTGGCCAAACTTAGCCGAGCTGATGCAAGACCCGGGGAAGGGGAAAGCTGCAGGTGTGTTTGTACTGCGAGGAAACTGTACTGTGACCCTCACCTCACAGACACCTCCTCTTCCGATCCTCGGGAGGTATAAAGATGGGTCCTCCACCACCAGTCAGGCACTCTCTACCACCATGAATCCACTCCTGATCTTTGCCTTTGTGGGAGCTACTGGTGAGTTTCATGCCCCTTCTCAGGCCCCACCCACCATCCTTCCTGGCAGACACAGGCCCTTCCATTCTTGCTACCTCTCCTCTTTTGACGTGCTCTGATATTGTATTTCCTCCATCTGGTTTCTCTAATTCCCATCCTCCTTGGGCTCTCTTTAAGCCTCACCTGTTTCACCTTCTCCCTGACTTCACTCCCACCACTGTCATTCATCCATATCTGCACTGTGGTTGGTAAAACTGGGAGACCAGGTGGGGCTGGCCCATGAAATGAAGCAGCAGTCTTCAGGCTTGGCTCCAACAGCACCAGAATAGCACCACTATACCTGCTCTTAACCTCGAATGCACCTGGGGAGGTTGAAAAATTACTGATGCCAGAAACTAAACTCTAGAAGTTCTAACTTCATGTTTCTGGGGGTGTAGCCTGTGTACTAAGCTTTTAGCTTCCTAGGTGATTTTTAACATTCCAGGCATGCAGCCAAGGTTAAGAATTGCTGTTCTATTGGCCAATAACAACATCTACCTATGTTCTTCCGAAGTGAACCTGGGGGCTGCTGTCACCTCTGCCCTGACTGCACATATCTGAGCTGACAGGGAAGCTGGTCATGGCCAGGTCTACACAGCCAAGGGGTTTTCCTAGCTTAGGGAAAGTATCCTGACAATCCAGGGCTCAAATTGCCAGAGGAAGTGCACAGGTGATCAATAAAACAGAGAAGCACACAGTGGGTGATCAACCACATCCCAACTCCAATCCCACTGGAAGCACTGTGAGGACATTCCTTGAGACCTCAGCCTGGTTATCCCAGGAAAGATCTGAGCCCCCACTGGGCACCTAGCTACATACCCTGCAGACACAAAGACTTGGGAGCCACATCCAGTGATGCTCACCAGGGGTGGCAGAGCTCCCTCCCTTGCCTAGCCTCACTGTGCTTGTTAAGTATTTCTAATTAGCAGGAAGCAACTGCAGGCTAGGAGCACCACCCCTAATATGCCACTAAGGTGCCTTCTCCCTTTCCATCTCCACTCCAGTTGCTGCCCCCTTTGACGATGATGACAAGATCGTTGGGGGCTACACCTGTGAAGAGAATTCTCTCCCTTACCAAGTGTCGCTGAATTCTGGCTCCCACTTCTGCGGTGGCTCCCTCATTAACAAACAGTGGGTGGTGTCAGCAGCTCACTGCTACAAGCCGTAAGTGTGGGGCCCCTGACTGTAAAGCTCTCAGCCAGGCTGCCTGGGCGAGCTTGGCTTCAGCCCAGGGAAGTACTGAGATTGGGTAGGATGGAGGGGAGAGGTGGTGGAGAAGAAAACTTGTTGGCAGCAGCTGACTGTCCAGAGCAGAGAGTGAACACAAGACAGGAACCCCTCACACCCAGGCAAATCCATGAAACAGCAAGGGTTGTGGTCATAAAAGCAGGCAGGAATGATCTTGGAGTGGACTGAGCTAGTGAGAAAAGCAGGCAAGTACTTTTGCTGGTTAGCTACACATTAAAGTCACCTAAGAAAGAGTTTTTAGAAATACTGATGCCTATGTCCTATCCCAGGGCAATTAACTCAAAATTTCCAGGAAGAAGGTGTGAATATCAGTGAGTCTTTAACACTCTACCTCTGGTAACTGTAGAGTATATAGACAGAGCTGAGAACTGCTGCCTACACCAAGAACTCTCAAACCTGAGTATGTGTCAGAACCACCTACAGGCTTGTTAAGGCACAAATCACTGGGTCCCATCCCCAACGTTCTGATCAGTAGGTGGGGGTAAGAACCAAGAATTTACATTTCTAACAAGTTCCCAGGAGATGCTAATGCTATGGATACCCTTGGATTAGATTACACAGAAGGGTGGTGCTCACCAGGCCAAGAAGGGAGGGAGGAACAGGCACTGTGCACAACTAGCAAACACCTGGGGTGAAGAATGCTGGGAAAATGTCAAGTAGCTCCTTGTGCCCATAGTGCTATTGACTATGGAGATTGTGGGAAAGAGACTGGGTTGAGGAGCAGCCTCTGGTGGGATCACTTTGACTCTTCCCCAACCAACTACCACCAACAGCTGGAACAGAAAGGTCCTGGGTCTCATACCTATACTGACCCACATCCCTCTCCTACCCATGCGATATGGCTACACACCCAACACATGCCTCCTGACCTGTCCATAAACAGGGAGCTTGAGGATGCTGGAGAAGGTGGGATGGGTGCCCCGACTGTGGGAGAAGGTCTTCACTATGCCTGCCCTGCCCATCAGCCGCATCCAGGTGAGACTGGGAGAGCACAATATCAAAGTCCTGGAGGGGAATGAGCAGTTCATCCATGCAGCCAAGATCATCCGCCACCCCAAATACAACAATGAGACTCTGGACAATGACATCATGCTGGTCAAACTCTCCACGCCTGCCATCATCAATGCCCGTGTGTCCACCATCTCTCTGCCCTCTGCCCTTGCAGCCGCTGGCACTGAGTGCCTCATCTCTGGCTGGGGCAACACTCTGAGCTTTGGTGGTGAGTGGGACCCTTTGTCCTTCTACTTCCCTCCATCCTCACAATTTGCAGAACAAAGTATGCCATTTACCTTGAATCCTCTCACTTCCAGGCTTAAAACACATTTCCAGTGACCATTACACACAGGCTCTGCACTGCGCACAAGAGAGATGCAAAGTCTCAAGGACTTGGCCCCTAAAATCAAAAGACAAGACAAATGGAGAACTTGCTATAATCACGTCTTGGGAGGGGCTCAACAATGATCATGTTGGGAACTAAAAGCCAGAGTCCCTTGCCAGGACTTATGTTTTGGAGTCCTGTCCAGGGCAGTATTCCTCTTCAATGTTCCATCCTAGATTATTGTCTCCTTCTAAAGCCTGACCCACATTTCTACTTTATTGATCTCTTCCTGATCCTCACAGCCGACTACCCAGATGAGCTGCAGTGCCTGGATGCTCCTGTGCTGACCCAGGCTAAGTGTGAAGCTTCCTACCCTGGAAAGATTACCAGCAACATGTTCTGCGTGGGCTTCCTTGAGGGAGGCAAGGATTCCTGCCAGGTGATTTGAACAACCCTTCCCATGCTGAGGCTCCCACCAATACCCAGGCCCCACCCGGGAAAAAGATTTGAACTCTCAAGGTGGGAAGCTAAGGAGCCTCCCTGCCGTGCCCCCATGGAGAACTGAGGAAGGCTCCCTTGGGCTGCATACTGTCTGCTTAGGGAGAACAGAGAATGGGCCACCGTGAGAAGGACATGGAGCCACAGAGCTGGCTGGAAAGGGATCTTTTAATGTTCAGAGTAAATGTAACTATATTCCTCCTCCATCTCTCTCTTCATACAACTTGTCCCTTGTTCTCCCCAGCGTGACTCTGGTGGCCCTGTGGTCTGCAATGGACAGCTCCAAGGAGTTGTCTCCTGGGGCTATGGCTGCGCCCGGAAGAATAGGCCTGGAGTCTACACCAAGGTCTACAACTATGTGGACTGGATTAGGGACACCATAGCAGCCAACAGCTAAAGCCCCCGGTCCCTCTGCAGTCTCAATACCAATAAAGTGACCCTTCTCTCACTGTCTGTGTCTGTGCCTGCTGCCTCACACTCCACACTGGAAAGCATCCTCCAGTCTCAGGTCAGACAGGGCTGTCTCCCTTAAATATAAGCAGAGCCCCCAGCTCCCAAAATGTGTTCCATAGTACACTAGATTAGCACATACAAAGAGATGGAATCCAAAAATAATAAGAAGCTTGGGTGAAAGCAGGGCACTGTTTTCCAGAGGAAAGAGTGTTTCAGAAGGTGGTCTTTAGGGGGGCATTGATTTTTATTTGGGTTCTCACAGTGGTTACCGCTACTCTGCCTTCAAAACAATCATAGCACAGAAAATGTGTCAGCATCTTCGAGGTGGCCCAAAAAATCTGACCAGCTGAATCTTATTGCTAACATACAACAATAATGACAAACGCTGTTGGTGATGACATGCCTCTCCCAGGAAAGTGTTGGCACCAAACCCTGGACCAAGCCGCCCTTCTCATTCACCTGGAAAATCAGACTCAAGTAAATCTCCCTGGACCCCTAACTCTTCTCTCAATTCCCTAGTTCCATCTCTGTGAACAGGCTAGAGAGATGTCCCGCCTACCATAGTAGGAGCCAGACTGCGACTTGGGAATCAAGCCCAGCTCTGCACACTTTATTTTCATCTTCTTTGCCTTTGGGGTAGGACGCCACAGTGAATCCCACAGCTAACACCAGCTCCCTACTCTGACCAGGGAAAGAAACTAGAGAGGGTCAGGATTCACCCATTTGATCAATTAACTGAGGAAGGATTCATTTTCAAAAAACTTGCTTGCCATTGAAACACTTCAAGTGAGTTATTTGAGAATCTTTTAAAAAGGTAGCTGGAAAGACATCTGAGGGCCGTGACCCCATCCAGCCACTCTGACCACATGTTGACTGGTCTGTACCCACTGGATGCAGCAGAGGGAGGCAGGCCCCACGGCATGTGTGGCACCTGCCAAAGCCTCCTCCTGGCAATTCTGAGAGGGCCCATGTTGGGGCCATAGCTCATCCAAGCTCGTCACTGAAGATCCAAGCAAGTTTCTCTTTGAAATTCCACCTTCACCATCTGTTCCAAGCAGTTGTGGACACCCCTGGGAGCTGGTACCAACGGCCAGGAGGAGCCAAGGGAGACAGACAAGTACAGAACACAATTCTAGTTAGTAAACAGAGCTCAGACCTCCGAGTGTCCATGGAGCAGCGTGCAAATTGCAGTGATGAGTAGAGTAAAACCTCTACATGGAGCACAGCTTTCCTGGCAAACACAGGGGACTGCTGTCCACATGCTGTGGAATATACCCAAGTAAGCATCAGACACTTGTTTGGTAAACAGTAAATGTGTCAGATCAATTACCTTGAGAGGGCCATCAGTGCTCCAGATGTGTGGTTCGTGTGAGGAGACGGCTACCACTCACTATCTTCAGAGGAAAACAGGGCTCAGGGCTCACACACAATGGACAGATACACACGGATCACCCAGAAATTCACTGCATACAAACATCACTTTGTTCAACATGGATTTTGTTTTCATGGAGTCCAAAGGCAGACCCTAGTTCATCTTAAAGCCTTGGGTTTGTCTGCTTTTGGAGATATACATCCAGTAGATAGATACACAGAAAGACATATACATTTTTTCCCTTTCTTACCATAATGTCAAGGCCTCGCCTGAATATCATCATCACTCAAGAGTCAAGGAAGGAACCAAACACTTCATAGAAACAGGGCTGGGTGAGGAGTGTTAGTTTCCACTGTTTTCTGTCTCCATTCAGATCATTCCTATCAAAGCCCAGCTGGTTACCTGAAGCCAAGAGACAGACATAAGGATCCCAATGGCCTCCAGACAGCTGCTTCCACCTCCTACCTGGGCCACTTACACTCTTTACAGAGAAAAGTGAGTCACCCCAATCAGAAGGGTTGCCAGCAGAGAAATCATAGATAACCATGGGATTTCTTCAAAGTGGTCAGTGTAAAATAAACCACCACCACCACCACCAAAAACACAAAACAAGCAAAAAAATGCTTATTCAAAATCCAAGACAAAATACTGTGTAGAGCCAGGCCATGGGGTTGCCTTTTCTCAGGCCACACAGCTTTCCCAGTCCATTTGCTCACATGGAACTGTGAGATGTGAAGGTCTGCAGAGCCTGTGCTTGGGATCGAGGCTGGTACTGTTCACCTGTGGGTCCAGACCAAGGACAAAGAGGCAGAAAACTGCAACTCTGTCCACCGCCATGGATTAGGCCCTCCTGCTAAGAGAGGCTCCGAAGAGCCCCCACCTCAGCCTTCACACAAAACATCTCCTGGCTCAACTACAGCCAGACTGCAGTGCCGTGGCATGGTCTCTGCTCACTACAACCTCCACCTCCCAGGTTCAAGAGATTCAGCCTCTCAAGTAGCTGGGATTACAGGTGTGAGCCACCATGCACAGCTAATTTTTGTTTTGTTTTGTTTTGTTTTAGATTTTTAGTAGAGACAGGATTTCACTATGTTGGCCAGGCTGGTTTTGAACTCCTGACCTGAAGTAATCCAAAGTGCTGGGAGGACAGGCGTGAGCCACTGCTCCAGGCCCAGGCTCCATTTTTAAAAAATAATTTCAACTTTCATTTTAGATTCAGGGGCTACATGTGCAGGTTTGTTACATGGGTATATTGTGTGATGCTGAGCTTTGGGGCACAAATGATCTCATCACTCAGGCAATGAGCATAGTACCCAATAGGTAGTTTTTCACCCTTTCCACCCTCCTTCTCTCTTCCCTCTAGTAGTTGCAGTGTCTACGGTTCCCATATTTATATCCATGTGTACCCAATGCTCAGCTCCCACTTATACATGAGAATGTGATATTTGATTTCTGTTCGTATGTTAATTTCCTTAGGATTATGGTCTCCAAATCAATCCATGTTGCTGAAAAGGACATGATTTCATTCTTTTCGTGGCTGCATAGTATTCCACGGTGTATATGTACCACATTTCCTTCATCCCCCTAGTCTAATGCTGATGGCCCCCTAGGTTCATTCCACGGCTTTGCTACTGTGAATAGTGCTGTGACGCACAAGCAACAGCATGTGTCTTTTTGGCAGAACAATTATTTTCCTTTGGGTAAATGCCCAGTAAAGGAATTGCTGCATAGAAAGGTAGTTCTATTTTAAATTATTTCAGAAATTTTCAAACTGCTTTCTGTATTAATTCTTCCATGAACTAATTTACACTCTGGCCAACAGTGTATAAGCGTTCCCTTTCCTCTGCAGCCTCACCAGCATCTTCTGTTTTTTTGATATTTTAATAGTAGCCACTCTGCAGCCAAGCTCTTTCAAGGTGAATGTGGGGAAGAGCCACAAACATCCCTTTTCCAGAAGAGAATTCCTGCCTGCCCACTGGTAGAATTCTTGTTTTCATCCGTCTTTCATTGTTTGTTTTTCAAAGAAAAACCAAAGGTAAAGTGGTATGACCTTCCACACCTGAACCAGTTTGCAGCCACCAGAGCCTGCTGGGAAGGGGCCCCTCAAGCAAGCATTGATCTTGTCACCTGGAATTTGAGAGATCAACAAGCCCCGTAGCAACCGACCATACAACTGCCCATCAGCGCCCATCCTTTCATGGGATTTGCTCAATTCTGCCTCTGAAGACACTGGCAGCCACAGGTGACAAACCCTGGGTCCCTGTGGGCTTCCCTTCTCACCCAGGACCACAATGGGCTGCCTGCTCTAGGCAGAGACACAGCAACACTCTCTTAAACTGAAATTAAGCATAAATCCACTTCACTAATAATCATCTGAGGGCACAGTCCCTGCCTCCTTCCTCTGGGATTTTAAAACACACCTCTCTCTGACCCAAACACGTAGGTGAGATCTGACTTTAAAGGTTTGGATATCAGGATGAACTGAGGTATCAGGAATGAATCCCAAGTGTTTTTGTGTGGGGACAGGCATCCACATCCCGAAATGTACCTGGAGATGGAGAAAATTGTAGGAGAGGAGAAGAGAAAAAAAAGGGGGACAAAATGGCTGAAAGTCATTGAAAGCTTCTCTCAAGATTGTTTCTAGCTCTGGTTGCTTTGCCAAGGTCGTGAGTGCAGGCAAGGCTGGCTCTGGCTGGGAGCTGCTGCTCTGGGAGATGCAAGAGTCACTTCACCTGAAGAAAGCTCATTTGATCATCTGTAAAATGGGCAATCCCATAGGTGGTTGTGATGACAAAATGAATAAAACATTCTTAACTTATATGAGTTACATGCTGTATAGGAAGTTACGTGGTATATAGTAAGCACACAGAAATGATTCACTGTTATCATAATTGAAGGACAGTGGTTTGGTGTGCTAAGCACTAAACACAAGTCAGAAAGATGTCTTGGAGAAGTAGACAAAGATACCTATAGTTCAGAATGAACAGTACCAAGATTGGCATGTCCTCCAAATTGAGCTTGGGCGGCTGGATCTGAACCTATCCTACACATCTGAGTCTACAGTATGAGGTAACATTCTCCACCTATGTTCTCTGCCTGTAAGGTCATTCCTTTTTGAAGAAAGCTGACCTCAGACTATAGTGTGATAATTTAATGAAGAGCACAAAATACTGGAGAAGGCTAGCTTTCAAGCTCTAGATACAGAAATCCTCATATTCTTGGGTGTTCCCTTTCAGACAGAGAGTCAGAACCACAAGCACAGATCCAAAAATCCCCTTTTCCAAAAAATTTTTCCACCTTCTACCAAGGTTCAACTCCCTATTTAGTGCACACTGGTGTCGACAGTTGCTAGAGCAAGAGTCTCTCCTTATCCTCCAAGGTAGGAGTTCTGTGAAGACCCCATGACAAGGGGACAAAATGAAACAATGTGTTTAGGGACAACACAGGAAAAACCCATATTGTCAATGCTCTGAAACCCGGCTACCTCAGGCTTATCTAGTTATTCGTGAGCAGAGAAGTGTGTCATCTACATGGCGGTCATGGCCTGGATGGGTCTTGAACTGTGGCAAGGTAAGGCTCCGAGACAAGGTGCCAGGAGAAAGATGAATTGAATCATCTATTTCTGCTAGGAAGAAAAGACCAGGAAGGAATCAAATGTACCGTTTGTCCTCTGGGGACCTCTGCCTTGATCCTCAATGAATCTCCTTTTAGATGCCACCTGCAGCAATTCCCATACTTCAAAACGCTCTCCATGGCTTCCGTTGGCCTCATGATCAGCTCTGTCTGTATTCTTGGGCAAGACAGAATCCGTCTGAATCTCATTGTCTTCTTCTATAAATGTAAATAATTTTACTCTGCACAAATCACAATTAGCATGTTTTGGGGAAGTTAGAGTGCGAAACTCAGCATAAACGAAAAGCAATGCACTACTGTTGCTTATGTGAAAACTCTTGTAAAATAGTCAGGCACCATGCACAATCTAAGGATAGCAGTGTCAGGTATGAGCCCATCAGTGACTAGAGGGGGTACAGGGTAGAGAGGGAATCTCTGAGCAGTGGGTCTCCTGGCTGTGGGGAAGCTGGCTCAGCAGCCATTCCTGGAGCTGAACCTGAAGGTACTCTCTGTGTCCTCTCAACTCCACAGATGCCACTTTGGCATTTTTTCCAATTCTGTGTGGTTTCCATTTGCTTCCTCCCTCTAGCCCCCTAGCCATATGCAATTTCACTGCCAGGTTTCTGATCTTTTCTCACTTTGTTCACCATCTCCAAAACATCCCTGATTCTTTTACCTTTCAAAAATTCAAACTTGAACTCTGCTCACTCCTGCCCATCACCAACCTGAGCTCTGAGTTGCTGAGAAGGGAAAGCACCCTCATAAGGAAGCTCCTTCTTTCCTTACATCATTAGACTTGAGCAGAGACAGCATCTCCATCTCCACACTGCTCTGGCCACGTTGTGCCTCAGTCAATTACACAACTGTGTCTTAGTAACCTTGGTAGGGCCCAAATCAGGATATTGTCTGGGAAGATTCACTTTGTACTGAGCCCAGCATAATCTCACCGCATCTAAGATAGAAAATTCTAGATCCGCCCCTCCAAATCTCTGTCATTGAACCCAACATGTGACCCATTTACCATGTGCTAAAATCTCTACCTACTGCTGATTCTCAGATCAAAATGTAACCCAGATTTACCATGGTCCAAACTCTGATATCCGATCGGGGCCATGTCATTCTGGTTCAGGATATCAGCCCCCAGCTGGTGGGTCAGTTTGCATCACCCTGAGTGCAGGTTGCCAGGGCAACCGTGAGGATGCCTAAAAAAAAAATCTGTGACAGGATGCACCTGAGAAAGACAAATGTCTTCACATTGAAGAAGGGGAGGAGTGTGCCATTCGATTTCCATCCTCCAGATGCACCGAGAAAGCTCCTACATAACCTGGGCCCCCTCCTTCTTTGAAACACTTCCTATCCTTAAGCCTTGGTAGGAAGGAGAGCCATCTGGGAGCCCAGAATCCTAAGGAATGCTGAGTCTCCCTTCTCCTTATGCCTTATTGTTGGAATTCTCTTTCTCCAAAGTCTTGGATTTGACCTTCCCACACACTGACTAGAGAGAAGCATCTCCATATTCACAGGCATGAGCCTTAGATAAGACTTTGCTCCTCTCACGGGGACTGCAGGACACTGAAAAGCCAAGCTTGTTACCAACGCTTGCAGTTCCTTAAGTGTGTTAAATACATCCACAATAGTTGAAAAGATTCCTAAACAGCCAGGCCATTCTCCCTCCTTCTAACCCTCATCTCCTCGGCCTAAGAAAGCCCAGCTCTGTGATCTAGGACTTGGCTTCCCCTGTCTTTCCCATCCCAGCATCCTTGCAGGAAACAGCCGGTCTCCCTCTCTGCTCTCAGAAGGCAAGTTTCCTAATCACCTGTGAATCACAAACCCACAGAGTGGCCAAACATAGCCGAACTGATGCAAGACCCTGGGAAGGGGAAAGCTGCAGGTTTGTTTGTGCTTAGAGGAGTGGTGACCCTCGCCTTACAGACACCTCTTCTCCCGATCCTCGGGAGGTGTAAAGACAGGTCCTCCACCACCAGTCAGGCACACTCTACCACCATGAATCCACTCCTGATCCTTACCTTTGGGAGCTGCTAGTGAGTACCATGCCCTGCCTCAGGCCCCACCCACACCCTTTCCTAGCAGACACATACCCTTCCATTCTTGCCACCTCTTTTCTTTAGACTATGCTCTGATATTCTATTTCCTCCATCTGGCATCTTTACTTCCCAACCTCCTTGGGCTCTTTTTAAGCCTCAATTGTTTCAACTTCTCCCGAATTTCACTCCCACCACTGTCATTCATCCATATCCGAGCTGTAGTTGGAGAAGCTGGGAAGGGAGGCCAGGTGGGGCTGGCCCATGATATGAAGCAGAAGGCTTCAGGCTTGGCTCCAACAGCACCAGAATAGCACCACTATACCTGCTCTTAACCTCGAATGCACCTGGGGAGGTGGAAAAATTACTCATGCCAGAGACTCAGCTCTAGACATTCTAACTTCATTTGTCTGGGGTGCAGCTTGTGTTCCGGGCTTTTAAGCTTCCCGGGTGATTTTTAACTATTCCAGGCATACAGCCAAGGTTAAGAATTGCTGCCCTATTGGCCAATAACAACATCTACCTTTGTTCTGCCGAAGTGAGCCTGGGGCTGCCCTCAACTCTGCCCTGACTGCACAGATCGGAGCTATGGGGAAAGCTGGTCATGGCCAGGTCTACGCAGCCAGGGGGTTTTCCTAGCTTTTCCAAAGTATCCTGACAATGCAGGGCTCAAATAGCCAGGGGAAGTGCACAGGTGCTGAACAAAAGAGACAGGCATTCAGTGGGTAAGACAACCACATCCCAACTCCTATCCCACTGGAAGGACTGTGAGGACATTCCTTGCGACCTTACCCTGGTGACCCGAGGAGAGATCTGAGCCCCTTCACAGTACCTAGCTACGTGCCCTGGCGACACAGAGACTTGAAAGACACATCCAGTGATGCTCACCAGGGATGGCAGTGCTCCCTCCCTTGCCTAGCCTCACTGTACTTGTTAAGGTTTTCTAATTAGCAGGAAGCAACCGCAGGCTGGTAGCACCACCCCTAACATGCTACTGACTTGCCTTCTCCTTTCCCGTCTCCACTCCAGTTGCTGCCCCCTTTGACGATGATGACAAGATCATTGGGGGCTACACCTGTGGGAAGAATTCTCTCCCCTACCAGGTGTCCCTGAATTCTGGCTCCCACTTCTGCAGTGGCTCCCTCATTAACAAACAGTGGGTGGTGTCAGCAGATCACTGCTATAAACCATAAGTGTGGGGCCCCTGACTGCAAAGCTCTCAGCCAGGCTGCCTGGGTGAGCTTGGCTTCAGCCCAGGGAAGTACTGAGGCTGGGTAAGATGGAGGGGAGAGGTGGTAGAGAAGAAAACTTGTTGGCAGCAGCTGACTGTCCAGAGCAGAGAGTGAACACAAGACAGGAACTTCTCACACCCAGACAAATCCATGAAACAGCAAGGGTTGTGGTCATAAAAGCAGGCAGGAATGATCTTGGGGTGGTCAGAGCTAGTGGGAAAAGCAGGCAAGTACCTTTTGCTGCGTAGCCACATATTAAAGCCACCTAAGAAAGAGTTTTTAAAAATGCTGATGCCTGTGTCCTATCTCAGGGCAATGAGCTCAAAATTTTCAGGAAGAGGGGGTGAATATCAGTGAGTCTTTAACACTCTACCTCTGGTAACTGTAGAGTATGTAGACAGAGCTGAGAACTGCTGCCTACACCAAGAACTCTCAAACCTGAGTATGTGTCAGAACCACCTGCAGGCTTGTTAAGGCACAAATCACTGGGTCCCATCCCCAAGGTTCTGATTAGTAGGTGGGGGTAAGAACCAAGAATTTACATTTCTAACAAGTTTCCAGGAGATGCTAATACTATGGCTACCCTTGGATTAGATTACACAGAATGGTGGTGCTCACCAGGCCAAGAAGGGAGGGAGGAACAGACACTGTGCACAGTTAGTAAAGGCCTGGGGTGAAGAATGCTGGGAAATCTTAAAGGAGCTCCTTTTGCCCACAGTGCTAGTGACTGTGAAGATTGTGGGAAAGAGACTGGGAAGGCTGGTTGAGGAGCAGCCTCTGGTGGGATCCCTTTGCCTCTTCCCCACCTCACTACCACCAACCTCTGAAGCAGAAAGGTCCTGGGTCTCACACATGCACTGACCCACATCCCTCTCCTGCCTATGCAATATGGCCACACATCCCACCCCATGCCTCCAGATCTGTCCATGAGCAGGGAACTTGAGGACCCTGGGGAAGGTGGGATGGGTGCCCCGGCTGTGGGAGAAGGTCTTCACCATGCCTGCCCTGCCCAACAGCCCCATCCAGGTGAGACTGGGAGAGCACAACATCAAAATCCTGCAGGGGACTGGAACAGTTCAACAATGCAGCCAAGACCATCCGCCACCCCAGATACAACTGGAGGACTCTGGACAATGACATCCTGCTGATCAAGCTCTCCAGGCCTGCCATCATCAATGCCTACGTGTCCACCATCTCTTTGCCCACTGCCCCTCCAGCTCCTGGCACTGTGTGCCTCATCTCTGGCTGGGGAAACACTCTGAGCTCTGGCAGCGAGTGAGAACCTTTGTCCTTCTACTTCCCTTCATCCTCACAATTTCCAAAACAAACTATGCCCCTTAACTTGAATCCTCTGGCCTCCAGGCTTAAGACACATTTCTAATGCCCATTACCCCCAGGCTCTGCACTGGGCACCAGAGAGATGCAAAGTATAAAGGATGTGGCTCCTAAAATCAAAAGACAGGACAAATGGAGAACTTGCTATGATCATGTCTTGGGCTCAACAATGATCATTCTGGGAACTAAAAGCCAGAATCCCTTTCCAGGACTTATGTTTTGGAGTCCTCTCCAGGGACAGTGTTCCTCTTTAATGTTCCATCCTAGATTGTCTCCTTCTCTGGCCTGACCCACATTTTGACTTTCTTTGATCTCTTCCTGATCCTCACAGCCGACTACCCAGACGAGCTGCAGTGCCTGGATACTCCTATGCTGACCCAGGCTAAGCGTAAAGCCTGTTACCTGGGAAAGATTAAGGACAATATGTTTTGCATGGGCTTCCTCGAGGGAGACAAGGATTCTTGCCAGGGGATTTGACCCCTCCCCATGCTGAGGCTCCCACTGATATCCAGGCCCCATCCGGGAAAAAGATTTGAACTCCCAAGGTAGCAGGGCAGAGGATGCTCCCTGCAGTGCCCCCATGGAGAAATGAGGAAGGCTCCCTTGGGCTGCATGCTGTCTATTTAGGAATAACAGAGAATGCAACACCCTGAGAAGGATGTGGAGTCACAGAGCTGGCTGGAAGGGGGTCTTTTAAGATTCAGAGTAAATGTAGCTATA